TACACAGGAGCACTTGGGTGATATTTCTGAACGCAGCCCTACTCACCGAGCGAATGAGTGTATTCTAAAGTCATTGGCTGCGTTCAGCAGACTCAACAGTTTTGCAACCGTTTTATGATTGTCTGCTGAGATAGGACCATTCTTCTAGATATAAAAGTATGATCCAATCAGCGCGAAGGAAACTTCCAACAGTTGCAAAACAAACGTTCTGCTGAACGCAGCCTTGATCGCATCGCAGCGTCGCAAGCGTGTCGCAAACGTTGCAGTCCAATCAGAGTCGAGCTTGACGTTTATTGGACCAAAATGTTTGCGACGCTGCGATGCGACTAATGTAGAACCAGCTTAAGGTTCGTTCGCGTCGCAATCTCCAATATGCTCCAATATGCTCCTACCATAGCTCCTATTCACTCTATCAAGCGCGTTGGAGTGAGTAAGAACTATGGTGGAGCATATTGGAACACGTTGGAGCATGCGACGCAACAAACCTAAAGCTGGTTCTACATTAGTCGCATCGCAGCGTTGCAAGCGTTGCGGTCCAATCAATGTCAAGCTAGCTCGACTCTGATTGGACTGCAACGCTTGCGACACGCTTGCGACGCTGCGATGCGATCAATGTAGAACCAGCTTAAAATGTCATAAGGACGGTCACATGTTCAGTCAGTAGCCAATCGGTATACTTATACCATCGATACACAAATGAGATATCTGGAAAATATTGAATCATATATGCAGGTTAATAATTGACAACATTGACAATATTGGTAAAGAATTTACGTCATAAAATAATTTCTTTTCCTTGCCGCGCTGATGCATATAGTTATTATTTCCCAGCTTAATGACTGTTAAAAACTTTTTAATAAATAACGAGCGATGGCTAAAACCTGTTGGAGGTTACTCAGGGTCATGACCTTGACAATATGTCAGGGTCATTGGGGCTGGGTCTTCTAATTGATACTTTTACCCGTTTTTGTAATACTTGTTTGAAAGCTAAACTTTGAAATTAATGAACATATCTGTAACAAATTTTTATTGGAGATCCCGTTCAATATGTGTGCAATAAAATCTTTAAAAGTCTATGAAAATTCGTAACATGAGTTTTTCAAACAAAATTCCCGAGAATAGTCTTTTTCATTAGATTTTTAAAAGTAAAAAATCCTTTAAAACTCGCGAAATCTTAATATATAAAGTCATTCAATTTTTAGAGAAGTAACAAATCCTTTAAATGTATATAAAATATTTATTTATATCATATGACCAATGATACTCTATCACTGATAATATAATATAAATAAAAAAACTTTATTTGCAATATTCATTCGCAATAACATTGATACAAATTTGATACGCACATACGCAAATATTTTATAGATTAATATATTATAAAAATTAATAATCGTTTTCTACAATCGAAATGATAGTCGCTTTCCTCTTTTTAGTTTTATGTAGTGTAGAATAATAATAAATGTTTATAGTTTATTTCTTTGTTAGGTACAACATATTGTATAATATTCGCTTTGCAATTCGCGGATTTCTAACAATACACGGTATTGCGAATCCAAGGAGAAAGAAGGGACGATTGCCATTATACATATGTATATACATGTCACACACATAGGTGTATGTATATATTTTTATATACAGGGTGGCCCATGTAAAGTGTTACAAGCTATTAGGCCTGTTCTTTTTGGTTGAACTTTTGCACCAGTTCATCTTTCTTCCTTTTCTCTCCAGGAAAAAAGAAGAGGAAGAAAGATGAACTGGTACAAAAGTTCAGCCAAAAAGAACAGGCCTATTATCTCTGAAAGTGTGTGTCAAATGACTAATATGTTCAGACAAAAGTTTTATGACTTTGAGGAGAGCATAAGATGGTACCATTTGTTTTGACCTTGGGTAGCGTTATCAAAGTGAGAGCCACTTTGAATTTTTTAAGTCATAAAACTTTTGTCTGAGTATATTAGTCATTTGACACACACTTTCAGAGATAATAGCTTGTAACACTTTACATGAGCCACCCTCCCTGTATATTAAATTTTATATATACATATATATGTACACATATAAATGTTATATATACATATATATGTATATATATATATATTATTACACATTTATATAGCATTTGTGCATTAAATCATTACATTTAAACATCAGGGATTAAACATAAGGAGACGAAAGGAAGAAATAAGGAGATTACGTCATTTTCAGAAAAACTATAAAAATCTTACAATAGTATAAATTTACAATAGTATAAATCTTTTATACTATCAATGAAATATCAATTACAAGATAGCTATTTATTTAAATGTTCTCGCCACTTTTTTCTTTCGTCGATTGGCTTAATCTTGTATAATTTTTTCATCGATATACACGTGTATAATCTTTATAACTTGATCTTTTGTATAAAACAGTATTTAAAATCGTATTAATATTATAATCATTCATTCTTTCTTCAATTATTAAAAGTATCGTAATACTTTGTTATGAAAGTAAATATATCGGGTATAAAAAAATTAATCCTCACTCTATTGGACCATTAACAATGTTCTTCTTTTATATTCTATGATTTCTCGAAGAAAGTTAAGGCTAAATTTTAAATGTGGGTTCTAAAAATTAAATATTAAAAGTTCTTATCCTGACTGAATCAGATTAACATAAAATTCGAAAATTAGTTCTTTTTCTCGTAAGCTTTACAGCTGCAATGTATAGTTGACAGTTCATTGGATTAAAATACAGTATAATAGTCTCCAATATAAGATAGAAAAACGATGTAAAAATTAGTTAAATATTAATTAATTTTCGTACAATTTGCACGATATACTCGTCCTATTTCAGGTCACCGAAATACTTTATGTATTACACACATACAAAATGTCCAATTCTAATCAGTAGGAATCAAATTTTTTCGATATAGTAAAAAAGAAAAATTAAATTTTATTTGATTTGAAAAAAATTCGATTCTAGTGATTGTAATTGGATCCTCTGTATATCATGCACTACACTAATCATGAACTACATATTAATTGCCAGGCGATATACATACATATATTATACATAGATTTGTGTGTGTGTATATGCGCGCGCGCAGGATGTTTGATATTAAATGTAACACTGTTTATGAGTAGGTATAGTCGACTAAACTCAACTGAAAAGTTTTTATCGTTTTGCAATTTTCGTAACAGTTAACGAAATATTAATTTGTAAAAATCACCGAAAGCGCGCGTTCGCTCATACCACCAAATGTATGTACTACACCTATCATGATCATTATAGGCGTGCGAGGAATTGTTTTCTTTCGTCGTCGTGCGTAATTATTACTGCTTGTAACAAATTCCCCGAGCACGACTGAAGGACGTGCATTTGGCTCGGCGAATACGCGCTTATTTGACGATCTTCATAAATTAATATCTTATTAACTACTGCGAAAATTGTAAAATGGTAGAGGACTTTCCGACTCAGTTTAGTCCGCTCTACCTGCTCACGAGAGGTGATCCCGTAGGTCGGGGCACCCTGTATATGTATACAGCCGGTCGCAGAAAGGTTGCAACATTTTTTTCGATGGAATGCTTGCTCACCGAGTGATTGGTTCTTACTCGTGGATCTAACCATTTACGTTTAACCGCTCTACGAGCAAGGCTGAGTTCCAAAATCCGTCGAAAAAAAGTGTTACAACCTTTATGTGATTGGCTGTATATGTATACACACAAAGTATTTGATATTAAGTATAACACCGTTCATGGGTAGGTATAAGAGCGGACTAAATTTAATTGAAAAGCATTTTGCCATTTTTGTAATATTTAAGGATATATTAATTTCTAAAAATCGCTGAATGGCCTACCACCAAATACAAGCGCGCGGCGAGATCGTCCATCGTATGTTGCTAGGTACGCGAAAAATTAATTGTTTACTACAAGCAGCCTTGGCTTGACAACGCACTAGCATAGAAAAAAATATCTCTACGCTGAATGGTCATATCATGTCTAGCGCTTGCATTTGACGGTAGGCCGGACGAATACACACTTATACATATACTCGATGAACTTTTATAGAAATTAATATCTTGTTAACTGTTACGAAAATTGCAAAATGGTACAGGACTTTTCAATTCATTTTAGTCTGCTTTACCTATCCATGAACGGTGTTACACTTAGTACCAAACACTCAATATATATGGGTCTTCCATAATTCACAGCCGCTAATATAAACGATCGATTTCAGCACAGTCTTGCATCAAAAATTATATATACTTTAAACCTGTCACATACCTAATATCTTCTTTTTCTTTTTCTTGTGTAACAGAAACTGACGAAAAAGATATCAATAAAAAATCTATTAAATAATTTTGTCACAAAATCGGATAATTAATTGATAAATAGCGCCGAAGTACTACCGTATCCCCTAATCTTATGACAATAAATATATATAATTCTATCGTTATTCTCTACAATAAGTTATATAAAATTTAATTGGAATTTAAATAGGGATCGGTGAAAAAGCAAGACGATAACGATTTCGTGAGTCGAAAAGTTCATCAATATAAAACGATAGTCACTGATGCAAGTTTATTATGATTAAAAATGATTGATTAAAACGGATCTTCTCATGGTTTACTTCCCGAATAATAACAATAAATTCGTGTTATAATGCCCTAAACTAATACGCGTTATTATGTATAACCATTCCTCTCTCAATAATTATTCCTGAACAATGTGAAAATCTAAAACGTCTAAAAAGTTTCTTAGAAACTTTTTTGTGTTGAGTTGTTAGTTTTCACCTCTCGCTTTCTTTGTCCAAGAAATACTAGCTTGTCTTGGCTAGTAGGACAAAAATGCATTTGAATTTTGAAATTTCAAAAGAAAACTTGAGAGAGAGAGAGAGAGAGAGAGAGAGAGAATTACAAAATACAAATATTCTCTGTAACGATTCAATTAATTAATATCTTCAATGCTTTATATGATAACCGTTAGATCTGCATTAAAGTTTTTCAATATCCAAAGTGCCCATAAAAATAACAAAACATAACTGCTATATATAGATAGTTTCAATGTTCCAACTCGTGAACATTCTAAACATGAATAAAATTCATCATCAATTCTGATTCTTGGGAAACATCGTCAAAATGGCGGCGCAAATCTGCTGGGGATCGGTCTCGTGGGGATGAAGCGTCATGACAGCCTGCACTTGCTCCTCGGGAAAAATGTTGGCGAGATGATAGTGTAGGCGACGTCGAATGTCCTGAGTCTGCATACCCCAGGGCACGTGTAAACTTGTAGATGGCGGGGATGGTAACAGATTTAATTGGGGATCCGAGGTACCTATCCTCTGCACCCGTGATGGCGGCACCAGGGCGGTACCGCGTGGCGGCCAAGCTCTGTAAGAATCCGGGGCAGATGCGATACGCATCACGTGCTGGTGATGAGGCTGAAGGCAGTCGGGATAATCCCAGCTGAAATATAATAGTATTTGGAAATATCCAAATAGAGATTATTTGAATCTATTTATTAATTAAAGGTTATATTATACCTGATAATAATGAATTTTAATTAAATTACAATTGAGGGGATGGATGGAATAAAGGCCTAATTACAAAACCTTGATTTTGATAAAAATTAAAATAACTTATTACTTTTTTATTATACTACAAATGAGAACGGGAGATATTAAATATATATTTATATAATGTTTTTGAGAAGTTATATGTTATAATATTTCTCTATGATCAATATTTAAATAGTTATTTGCAATTTAAAAAATGCACTTAGTTCTTTTTTTCGAACATAATATTGTAAGAATCGATAGAAAGAAAAGACTATGAACTGCAGAAATATTTTTTATTTTCACATTCTTCTAGAAGAAATACAAAATGATTATGAAATACATTTTACTTTACTTGTACAAAATAAATTGAAATAATGTTCAATTATCATCTGATGAATTTTCGTAAGATTTTTTAATATAAATGTTGTAATGAAAACACATTATTGTCGTATCATTTTTGTTCTGTCTCTGATAAAAATCTCATTAATGATTTTAAATTTTTCCACAGATTATATCATTTTCACCACCACACGATAATCGAAACACGTTCATACTTAACTAATGTAAGCAATATCAATTCCTTATTTATTGGCGCTAATCTCCGGGAAAAGGGCCTAAGTAAAATTGTGCCTTTATTCCGCCAATCTCCTCAATTATCTTTACTTTCTAAAAATTATAGATGAACAGAATCACACATTAAATAGATGATTTTATGTCTGGAAATTAAATAGATTCTTTTATATTGTATAAGATCTGCAATCACATATACAATTTACATGTTAATTATGATATAATTCGCATGAAACACGCGTCTTAAGGATGTATTAGACGTGCAATCCTTGCAATGAAAATTAAAGGATCCCACACAAAACGGATGGAAAAGTGCTTTCGGTCGAATTGGCTGAATTTTTGATATATGTAGTTCTCGTTATTCTGAACAAATGTTTCAATGGACACAACTTGATCCTATGGCTAGTTTCAGAGATATAGAGGCGGTCAAAATGTCCTCTGTCGAAATGACGATGTGTACTATAGTAAACCGTCATCAAATTTATCGTATTATTTTAAAACATGATTTAGAATAATCTGTAATTTTTTCACAATTTTGTTATCATTTTGAAAATATGTATAAAACGTCCTTAAATTAATGAATGTGTTTAGTTACATGTTAAATCACAGACTCACCTCATACTGGCAGTACCTGGATACGACGAGTCATTACTGGCGAGTCTCGTCAATGGTCGGTGTTGCATATTAGAGCGTGATGAGTTGATGACTGATTGCTGTTGTTGCGATGACTGACTGGTTTGCTGCTGTTGATGATATCGTCTGAGTTGATAAAGCCGCGGATCACACGCTGGATTCAGAGTTAATTGCCGCTGTAGCTTGCGATGCAGTTTCACCGGTTCTTGTTCGGGATTACTCACTCTTGATGTGGGCCAGTTCGCTGAGGAAGAGTAACCTTTAACAAAACAGATTATTAAATTATTTGATTATTTAACGATTAAAAGAAAAAAACTGTTATATATAATGTATTAAAAGAAAATATGGTAAATATTGACAACAACGGAAGCAGCTTCGATGATCTTGACCTTGACATATGCTGTCTAGGTTATGACCCTGAGTGACTTCCGACACATTTTACTTGGCGGTCGGTCTTCGTTAAAAAGTTATTAACAAAAAAGTTCATTAATAAAACCTAATTTTTGGACACGACTATGCTCCGATGAAACAAATTCCCTGCTTTAACAGCGGAAAATATTCTCTTATATAATTTTTTGTCTTTAGAGCAGAGAATTTGTGTTTTAAAGAGAAAAAAGTGTGATTTTAAAGCAAAGAATTTGTGTTTGTAAAGCAGGCTAAAATTTGTTGGAGGCCACTCAGGGTCATGACTTTGACAATATATGTCAAGGTCAAGGTCATTAGAAGGTGAACCCTCATACTGCATATTTACCTAATTCCGAAGTTCACTTCTGGGTCACAAATGACCCATTGTGTGTATAGAGTGTATTTTTGTAACTAAAAAAGTTTTTACTTTTTTCTTTATTTTCAACTAAAAAGCCTGCGGCACACGATGCTTGTTTTCCTGCTGGATTAGAATCTTGTCACCGTATTGGCTGCGATGTTGGCACTGGCCATAAATAATTCATACATAATGTGTTCAAAATTTATACTTCATAATTATCACCTTGAGAATTTTGTGTAGAAGGCATTTGCTGGCTGTACATAATGGGACTAGTTGTAGACAAATCAGATGTGACATTTTCCACTGATCTACTCTTCGGAACGGACGACAAAAATTGAACGACATTCGGTGGCATGGCTGATTTAGTTTTGCAGAGTGGCGGATGTTGTGGAGATACGGATGCGTTTGTGGATGACAATGGCAGACTCAGGCTGGGCCCACGGGCTTGTAAGTGACGCTGAGCATGCTCCACCAATCGTTCTGTCACAGATTTATGTGGATGTGGTCCTCTCTCGGGATGTCGGAACTTGCACTTATTGCCGTATGTACATTTCTGGTAATTTAAGAAATAGCCATTTAATTTAATTTAATTTGCTAAGAGCATATACCTCATTTGACGTAATTTTATTTAATTTGACAAAAAATCTTCGCTAAATGTTTCAATCTAGAATCTAAATTTTAGGACTCTGAATACCAATTTTAATCTTTTAACTTTAGCTAAAAAAAACTTAGTTTTTGAAGTTTAATAAAAAAAACTTTTGAAGCGTAATATTATATTAAAAATAAATAAAAGAAAGGAAAAAGAGAAACATTACCTTAGCATAAGGACATGGAGGAGCAGGATCGACCTTTTTGGGAGCGATTCTAAGAAAATTCTCCAATGTAGGTCCGCTCCTACCGAGTGGATCGTCTGGTGGCATAAATCGATCGTTTACAAAGCTGTACATCAGAATTCTCTCCTCTATGACCTTTCTAAATTCGGGATTCTCTTGTGCCAAGTCCCGGTAGTTATCGTTGCTGACGACAATGCCATCGACCTCCGCGGCCAGTTTCAGGATGTACCGATCGTCGTAACACACCATACGCTTTCCACCCACCAACCTGCAGACATTTAATGTTCTCGTTAAAAAAATAAGTTATAATTTGCGTCATGTATACCAGTGTATCTTGAATTATAGATAATAATATTATAATACTATATAAATAATTAAATTGTACAAAATGTGATATAAAAGCGTATTACAAGAAATCGATCAGTCTTATGAAATAGTTCAAGATAATGTACTTGTCTTAAGCCGGCAGCATACTATGCTTGTTTTCCTGCTGGATTGCTAGCTGCATTAAAATTTTGCCATCATATTGCCTGCGATGCTTGCCAATACGGTGGCAAGATTCTAATCCAGCTAATAATTCAGCAGGCATAGGCGCCGACTATGGGGGAGCAGACCACTTTTTGCCTCCCCAATTATTTACTGGGGGTAACGTATTCTTATTTGCGTGATTGTACAAATTATATACTTATAATTAGGCGAATATATAACTTAGATTTTCATGTTAATTAGTTAATCACGTACTCGAACTGAATATGTGATTGTTTTACTCAGAGATCCGTTATATTCTAAAAGTGTAATTTTAGAACATAAAGAAAGTAAGAGAAATATTTTGTGTAAGGTCAGACGAATTATTTAAGTTTTTCTGAATCTCAGACGAATTGCATACGTCGCACCAACCTGGAAGGCGTAAACACAAGCAGACGATCCTTCTCAAGCTCGCCCAGGATCTCTTGGTCAGTGACCGGATTATCAGGTCTCGAGGCTTCTTTCCGCCACTTGGGCACAAAGACAGTGATCTCTTTATGCCCCCTGGCACGGAACCAATCAACACAAATCTTGATGCCGAGACAAGAGAATACCTCCTTATTGCCATGACTCATAGCGACGTTACTGCCGTCGATGACAACAGGCCTCAGGTCCATTGATGAGATCGCGTTTACCGTGGCATTCGTCGCCATCATTGAGGTCAAAATCGACCTTCCACCTTCATCGGTGTCTGTCTCGGCGTCCGGTAGATCATCTACTTCCTCTGGACCGTCGGTAAACTTTGGGGAGCAAGTAGCTCCGAGTTTGATTAGCTCGGCCAACAGCTCGTTCTGACCCGGATCCGGGCCCAATTTCTGCAGCGCCGCTTGCACCAATTTTTCGGTGTAGCCCAACTTAAGTGCGAACTCCACGCGAGCGGTGTAACCTAAATGAATTTTGTTAATATTAATACGGAACTTGGTAAACTTTTTTTTTTTTACTTGTCATTGGCCTCTTTGCAGCTGGGAGATATGAGTAAAGAAATCATAACACTGTAGCTGCGTTCAGTTTGCACGCTTACACACTTTAAGCGCTTATAAGCATTACTCATTAGATACGTTTACACCGTGCGCTTAGTCCGCGACCTATACGATAGGTGTCTTTGTTTAACCTACAGGATAAACAAGGACATCTATTGTATAGGCTGCGACCTAAATGAACGGTGTAAACGTAGCCGATGTTCGCTTTGGCGGTGTAAGCGTTCAGAGATGCATTCATGACGTCATAAGATTGTGGAGTTCTTTTTAAATTGGGGATCTTGTACCTTGTCTGTCACAGTAGGAAAATTTGCAAAAACCTACCTGGGTTTTGCGTGGGTGATGGTCCCTGGATGGTAACGTACTCCGCGAACTCGGCCGCTAGAGTGTCCGATGTGGTGCGAGATACGTCCGGATGTGCTGGGGATATATGCGACTCCGATCGTGAATACCGCGCCGCTGTCGCCGTCATTGTCGTTGTTGTCGTCGTCGTCGTCGTTGTTGTTGTCGAATCCTCGGCTTCGTAGTCGCTGTCGTATGAAGAGTCCTCGGCGTCTGGCATGCTGCCCGTATCCAGTACTGTGCAGTCTACGTATCTCTACAACACAATGATATTGTTTATAATATGAGTTGTCGTTTTAGAGATATTCTGCGTAACAAAGATACAAATGGAGGCATTCAGCAATCATATACATACAAAGAACAATATTAAAAATCAGCAAAACGATATATTAACAACATTAGCTAACAGTAGTTTTTAATTAAAAATAATTCTATTAATTCTATTAATTAAACAACAGTATTCGTCTTGAAAATACCACAATTTCTTAACACTTTTCTTTTTGAAAATACCACAATTTCTTAACACTGATATTATTTTGTTAACATAACTGTTTAGAGAAAAAACATCTAGTGAATATAATAGTTTTATAAATCCAACTGAAAATATTAATTAAATCCTTATAATTAAGTCTCAAACGTTTTAGCTATAAAATATCAAGTTTAATCATGATAATTAGAAATTCTGTATGATCTTACCAGAATGCATTTCTGTCGTATACGCCTTGTTAGTATACGTATATCTAATCAAAACATTTTTTTCAGCGTAATATTTTCAATTTTGTAATAAACGTAGACATATTTGTGATGTCGTATTTGCATTTTCGCCTTTGATAATTATACTTGCTTACAGTCGTCATCGTAAATTATGACAGATGACGAAAATTAACAAAAAATAACAAAAAATGATAAAAATAATAAAAGTACCGCGACACATAAGCATGAACATTTTTCTACAATAAAATTCTTTTATCTATCAAACGACACATTTGTATTGTTAGTATTTTTTTTTAAACACTATATAATATCCCAACTAAAAAGTGAGAGATTGGAAAGATATTCGCGCGTTTCTGATTCGAGAAATTATCTTAAATGGGGCATAGCTCTCCCAGGTTGGCGGATGTAACCATTAGCGGGGATCCAGGTGAAAGTAGAGAGACGCGAGGATGAAGAAGAGAGAGAGAGAGAAGGGAAGGGGAGGGGGAGAAATAGAGAGAGAGAGACACACGCACGCACACACTCACCATACCGATCATCAGGATCGCCTGTTCCCACTGGCAGAACGACATAATGTTATAAGTGGACTAGAGTGATAATGAGAATTTTTGTATCACTCACTTCTCAAAATGCACGAGAAACACAACGAGAAAATTATATAAGAATAATCACGGTTAAGTAGTGCCAACAATTAAGGATAGGCTCTCAAATCGGAAATTTAAAAATTATGAAACTTTGACAATACATAAGGAATACCCTGATATGTAATATGCAATTGTTTTTGTTGTTTAAACTGGAGGACTACAACGGACTAAACTGAGTCAAAAAATCCTCATCATTTTGCAATTTTAGCAATAGTTAACATAAATATTGATAAGTGAAATACATTTATTATACAGTATTATTATACTTAAAGAAGAAAAAAAATATCAATATTGAGAATATATTGCTCCTTTTGCTTTTTTTGTTCATATACAGGGTGGCCCACGTAAAGTGTTACAAGCTAATAACTCTAAAAATATTTGTCCTATCAAAAAGTTGTTTATAAGAAAGTTTCATATATTCGAGGGACCTTTCTAACTATGTAAATCCACCCCCTTGAAGAGGGGCGGAGGCTAACTTCAAAGTTTCAAATGGGACCCCCTCTAAAATGTTACATATTTGGATTTTGGCGAAAAACAAGTAAACTTTGTCTGAAACATTTCTTTGGAAAATGCTCCTATCAAAAGTTATAAACATTTACATTTTAATGTAGAGTGCATTGAAATTAATGATAAATTAAATAAGACTTATATTATAGTTTTTCTGTTTTTTGTTATTTTATTAAATGTTCTAACTATTGACCATTAACATCTAAACACTTATTAATTCTTTTTACAAAACTTTGACTAACTCTAAACAACATTTCTGGATTCATCTTAGTGCAAGCTGTACGTATTCTTCGTTTTAAGTCTTCTTTCGTCGTAAATGGTTGAGATGTGACTTCCTCTTTGATATACCTCCATAAAAAATAGTCCAAAGGTGTAATATCAGGTGAACGAGGGGACCAATATTACACAATGTTCATAATCAGTTTCCAAAAGTTCCTGAGTCAAAATCAAACGATACGGATGAAATTTTTGTTTTTCCAAAATCCGCTATATTGAAGACCGTCCAACTCCAGACGTATTTGCTAATTCGCGTTTGAGAAACGCGTTTGAGAGACTGACGTGTGGATTTACTTCAACTGCAGCGAGAATATTAGCACAATTATCATCATTAACTATTGGATTTGCTTTTTGTCTTTTAATTGCACTTAATTGACCATGTATACGCAAACGATTTTCTAAACGAAGAAATGCCATATGCGATTTTTGAATATTATAACGTTCTACAAATAATTGCGCTGCACGTCGATAATTTTTCTCACATTCTCCCAGAATTAACAACATATAAACTTCCAAATGAGCCATGATTTTCGATCTTGATAGCATGAAAACCAGCTCAACCAAAACTAATTAAATACATAGTAGATCCGTATTTACGTTTCCCGATAAATGTGTGTATGTTTCTTTTGGTTAACATCAAAGTCGTTTTCGTTTTTATTGTATCGTGAACACAACTTTGTGTCAATGGAGTTCAATCATGAATAAAATGGCTAAAAGTTTAATGTTTATAACTTTTGATAGGAGCATTTTCCAAAGAAATGTTTCAGACAAAGTTTACTCGTTTTTCCCCATAGAATCCAAATATGTAACATTTTACAGGGGGTCCCATTTGAAACTTTGAAGTTACCCCCCGCTCGTCTTCAAGGGGGGATGGATTTTTGTTTACGTTGGAAAGGCCCCTCGAATATATGAAACTTTCTCATGAACAACTTTTTGATAGAACAAATACTTTTAGAGTTATTAACTTGTAACACTTTACAAGGGCCACCCTGTATATAGTTTTTAAATATTTTTTTAAACAATGAATATGTTTCCTAATCAGGGACAGAATCGATTACCGTGGGTATACCATATATGGACGATGTGACCTGACTACGAAATTTATTGATTTGGAATGCCACTTTTCCTCCTCCCTTTGCAAATGGTAGATTGATCATTGTTGATCGATTATGAGAACCGAAATCGAACTGGCGACGTTGCGTGCACGCCGCGACGAATTTCTCGACAACCTTGCATCGTCGCCCACCACTCCCGGATCTAGCTTAACATATCGAGTACACGTGAAGAGCAACGACGGACAACATGTACATAGCATACGTGACAAAGACGAAGAAAGAGAAAGAAAAGAGAAAGGAGGAAGGGGAGAAAGAGAGAGAGAAAGAGAATCGAGTCATCTCTATTCTCTATTCAAATTTAGGAGCAACATTGAAATCTGGATCTTCCTTCTCGGGATTCTATAGAAGAAAAATATTTTTGATTCCTTTTTATCTGTAGTACTCACAATCGACAGTTTAAAAATTTGAAAATACAAACTGTGTATATTGTACTTTTCGTTGTAGTATATTCACACATAAAAACTCCATTATTAATATACGTATATATGTATTAACGAGAATAGGTTCTATCATTACATACATGCGTATACATTATTAAAATATTAATAAATTTCAATCTACAGTACGTATTTATATGGTCATCGAGTTGTATCATGGGATTTGCCGAAGACAGTTTTATGATCTTTTTCGCGCTTCCTTTATCAATGTCGAAATTTGAAAAGAAGAAAAAGAAAATATGAAAACGATATCTTTCTTTGATAAATTACATATTTAAATATATATTTGATAAATTTCTTATATAAAGATATCATAATAAATTTTCGGAGCGCAAACTTGAGCAGGTACATATTTTAATGAAATATCGGTCGCGAATCTCAGCTAGGATTTTATTAGAAAGTCTGCGAAAGGATAGATCAACCGGAAGACGACAATTTTCCAAAGAAAGTTTTGTCGCTACGTACCTTTTCTCCCATATTGGCTCTCTCAATATTCGTTTTGTCATAAAGAAACGTCAAATACATATCTATATTTATGATTTTTAGCCCTCAAATATAGAATGGACAATAAAATTATAGCAATAAATAACATAAAATAATAAATTGATAATTCATATCAGATTCGTCTATTTATTTATTTTTTTATTATGAAGAATGCAAAATTTTAGATTTCGTTATTTCAAAACATTTCAAATAATAAAAAATCAAGATCCTATTACTATATGTATACATCATTTTAAATATGATTATTTAAAAAATAACTTTTCATACAAGAACAGGAGTAATTGTTTCTCGTAGTTTTTGAGTATTTAATAAAATGTTTATTAAAATTGCTCTATCCATCTCTATCAAAATTTTGAGAAACTTACAGTTAAAGTTACAAAAAAGGGTATTTAATGTATTTTAATATGTTATATAACTCTATATAATGTATTGAAGAAGTTTTATTGCAATCAAAATTAAATATATTGTTAGGATTTTCAGTTCTTAAAAAAGGAATTTTGTTATGATATGTTGCGTCGCTTTCACTGGTGGAATTTGCTCTTTCGACCTCTCCTTGAAATATGATGCCTATTTTTAAACTTTTCATTTATTTCGCGTGTTTACTTATATAATTTTACCTGTTTTCTTAATAAATTTAAATATGATACTAATTTTGTCTCACACTGTGTTGTTTAAATTGTTTTCTTATTATTAACTCATCAAACAAACTTTCCCTCCATTCCAGACCTTGGCGACTAATTGGATGCCTCCCATTTAATCGACATAAGCATCATTCTATTTTTTCTCTGAATTTAGTGAAAAATAAAGACGACACTTGTGTCATTAAATAGAAAGCATCTATTGTAAATTCATTACTTATAAAAAGAAATTGTGTCAATTATGCTTAAAAATATATAAATATTTAAGTCGAAGTCAGATAAGTTCAACCTGAATTGAAAAACTCTTATATATAAACTATACTATTCCAAAAATTCCAACATTTTTTAAATCGTAATATCTATCATATATGAAGTCATTTTGAATTTATCAACTGTGACATCAGATTAATATTTTTTAAGC